GCAGGTGAGAGCGGGGGCCGGGGCGGGCCGGCCTCGGGAGCGGGGGGAATGACGGTGTTCGCAAGAAGCGGCACTGAGGTGGCTTCGTGCAGGGACGCGGCTGCTGGGCGTTTGGGTGGGCGCTCCGGGGAGGAGCGAGCGGGCTGACGGCCTGCCCTCGGCTCCCCTCGCCCACCGCCGCCCGAAAAAAAAGCAGCCGGCACTCCCCAGCTGGGGCGGAGCGAGAGGGTTAGAGAGCATCAGCTTGGCAACGGGAGTGCTGGTGTGAGCGGCCCCGAGGTTACCCTCTTTAAGGATACGTAAACCACGTACAGGGATATCTATATATGCGGGCTGGTAGAAATGGCAGGGACTGTTAGATGTAGAGGGTGTTTTAAGAGAAAGTCAGGAGCGATGAGTTTAAAAACACGATTTTATTTCTAGGAACTCTCTTGTGTGTCTTTGTGGGCTGGAGTATTAGAATGAATGACACAAATCTGAAGTATTAAGAATAAACTATAGAGGATGGGTGGGGGTTCTTTTTTAATATTTTCCTCTCAAACCTAGATGCCTTTCTGTTTGGTAGTTTAATGCAGTATGAGTTGTTGGAGCTCAGCATAGATTAAAAAATGACCAAATAGTTTCTTTAGAGCTTAAACTCTATCTGTGAATGAAAAGTTCTACTTGATAGATCAGGATAATACAGTCACTTGAGTGTCTGCCAAGTGACCTGGTGAGAATGGAAAAGGGAAGAGGATGATAGGTGTTTTGGAAATCAGCAGGGTTTGGGACTGCTCATGTCTCTCATAACTTCTTAGATTTTTGCAGTAACTCCTTTCATGACAGAAGGAAATCCTTAACACACCACTGTTGACAGTTCATGAGGCATCTGTGGAGGATCTTCTCTTGATGGAGCCAGAACCAGACCATCCTGGGAAATGCCAGGTCACAGGAGTCGTTCTGGGTATGTGCTAGTAACTCAGTAAGCAGCTTCAGTTACCCAACACTTAAGAGCAGCCTTTGGGGTAAACATTTCTGATTCATAAGTGAGAAAGTCGAATTAGCTGATAGAGGTGATTTAGGCCGAGTGTGGACTAAAGTAGGTTAATATGTGTAATACCATAAAAAACATACCTGGATTGATAGGATATTGGGAGGTTACATAAGTTTAATTACCTTCAGGCTCGTGATACTGAATTCCATGCTGCATTTTGAGATTTTATTTGGTAAATGGTGTATGTTGCCAACAATGTTACAGGGAAGTGGTGTTCTCTTACTAGCACACTTATGCTTTATTGCCCCTTATTGTTCTAGTAAACAAGCTTTCTGAAGTAGAAGCCTGGGTAGGAATTTTTCCTAGGAGTGAGTTTTCTGTGTTAGGGGTAACATTCTTGGGAATAAGAAAAATACAGGAATAAGTACATGCTGCTTATTGCAGTTATTCCTATTAATGGTTTTATTATTGAAATGCTGATTTTGTTAAATAATAAAAGATGGATAAACCCCCAGTGCACACCGTTAGTCTAGTTTTAGACAGAAGCACCAGAATGCCAGGGCTTTGTTGATACTGAAATATGTGCAACTCTCAAAACTTGCTGTTTCAGGGGATGGGAGCACAGTACATGCTGGGAGTGTTATCCTGACCACTGGTACATTTCTGAGGGGTATGGTCATCATTGGACTGGAGATGCACCCGGCTGGGCGTCTGGGAGACCAGCCAGCCATTGGGCTGGCTCAGACTTTGGAGAAACTGGGATTTGCTGTGGGCAGGCTGAAGACTGGGACGCCGCCCCGACTTGTCAAAGATACAATTGACTTCAGTGGTCTGGAGGAACGTGCAGCTGACAATCCTCCTGTGCCGTTCAGCTTCCTCAGCGAGTCTGTGTGGATCAAGGTGGGATAGCACACATCAAATGCACGTAGAAGCAGGTGGGGAGCAGTTCCAGGAATGTCATACTCAGAATCAGACAGGGAGTTCATGGCTGCGAAAGGAAGATGGGATGTATTTGTACAGGAGGTGTTACGTGTTTGAGGACTTCAAATGCAAAGGGAGAAATTGCTTGGGCTTTTTTTGAAAGCAAGTACCTTTTTCCTCTCACTTCTCAACTTGAGAACCAAACTTTCTTTACTTTTAAAGTCAGAATTGCATGAAATACGACATTGTTAGTAGTATTCTTCATGTGCTGGTTACATGAGTGGTTTACAAAATCCTTCCAGTATTAGACTTGGATTGTTGGAGATATACGATGTCTTGCTTGTTATCCCAGTTCTAGAATGAGATTAAAATGTTGAAATTAGAGATTGTTAATAGGAAAAGACTAGGAAATAGAAAGGATGGAGTTATCCACAGTGCTCAGAGGTGGCATGTTAACAGTAACATAAAAGCAGAAGAAACTCAATTTTCCAAAGAAACTCTTGGAAAATGGATGGCATTCTTACATAATATAGTTAAATAGCACAGAATTAAGTATCAGGAGTTAATTTGCCCTAGAGCATATAGGAATTGCAGTAACCTATTATAACTGGGGTGAAGGCAAAAGTAATATCCCTTGAAGTCCTTTGTACGTGTAGAAAATGTTCTAAGGAGTCGAGGTGCAACATTATTACTATTTTGAATGTCAGTCTATTGACTCTTTTTCAGAAAAGTCGGTGAAATACTTCACATGGACGGTTTTTTCCACACCTTGAATTTTCCATGTTAATTGCAGGGTTTTGAGAGATTTCTCTTTTTTTCTTCACCAAACTGTTTAATTGGCTGTTAGCTCTCAAGTCAGCACTTACTCCTCTTGCTTCAGAGCTTTTAATTCCTCTGGTTAATTTGAATACTGTGGTATAATGTGTTGCTTTAATAGGAATATGCATCCTGTAATTGGGAATACATTGTATAGAACAGAACTTGAATTCTGGACTCCCAAGCTCTGTTCTGTTTTTGGTCTGCTTTTGAGCATGTTGCTCGAGCGCTCTGATTGCTCGTGTTCTGTCTGCACAGTGGGTATGACAGCACTACCCATCTCTCCAGGTAGTGCGAGCCAACTATCATGGAAAAGCCCTTGGAGATAATCAGGGTTGTTCAGTAAGAGTACAGTGTTGTGACTGGGTTAACTGAAGGTGAGCTTTGGCCTCTTTCAGCCAGAAGATCAGCTGTCATGTTATCTGACTCGCACTACGCTGAAAGCCCAGGAAATTATCCATGATAACCTCCACCTGAACAACCATATAAGGGAGACAACAAGGGGGCCGCGGTAAGTGCGTGGCATCATGCCACACTGTCAAAGGCACTAGCTGATAATCTGTCTGAAACTGTGGGTCCCCCCGGCTTTGCTTCTGGACAGTTACTTTTTCTCCATGTCAAGTGGTGCTCATGGCTATTTACTGCTGCAGGTACTGTCCCTCTCTTGAATCAAAGGTTCTGCGCTTCCCAAACCGAGAACATCAGGTGTGGCTGGAGCCTGAAGGCTTGGAGTCCAATGTCATTTACCCCCAAGGCATGTCCATGACGCTGCCACCGGAGCTCCAGGAGCAGGTGATCAAATCCGTCCCAGGCTTGGAGAAAGCCAAGATGTTGCAGCCAGGTGAGGGGGGTGAATAATTTTAAATCTATTTATTGTATTGGTTACTAGTTAATAAAAACTGGATTTTGTTTAAAGCGTAGCAAAACAAAGGAAATACGAAACAAAATTAGTTCTTAGATGCAGGGATTTTTTCCTTGGTTGTTTTTAAATTGTAAATAAAAGCTGATAACCAAAGTCATTCTGCACCACTGATTGCCTTTGCTGATAAATAGGGACCTTCAAAAGCCCTCCCATAAGATCTGTCTTCTTGTTTGCCATAGGCTACGGGGTGCAATATGATTTTTTAGATCCCCGTCAACTGACTGCTTCTCTTGAGTCTCGTCTTGTTCAGCGCCTCTTCTTTGCAGGCCAGATAAATGGCACGACAGGCTATGAAGAAGCGGCAGCTCAGGTGGGTGAATCTGATTGTGTATACTCAGCACTCAGGGATATTGCCCTGGCATTTGTCTTTGATATGCAGCCTTGCTAGGCCCATCTTGTACTAATGAGAAGTTCTTACTTTTGTTGCTCGCCCCGATTCCAGACTTGCAGAGGTATTTTTACATTGAGTATCTACAGTTGCTGTTACTGAGATTGCAGTAACAAAAGTAATTGGAAGTGCTGTCAAATGTTTCAGTGTGGAGACTGCGCAGTGGCTATAACTGAAAAGACATGGGAGTTGGCACCTGCGTACATGCCTAGAGACAAGAAGCCCTTCAGACACTCGTATCACAAGAAAGAAACTGTCTAGATTACTAGCATGGACTATTGCATTTTCCAGGGTACAGTTTGACACATGAGTCTTTGGAGGCAGATGTGCTGATATTTTAGCCATGAAGAGACCGATAAATGCTATTTTGTTTTGTTTTCTGTTTGCCTAGGGTGTGATTGCTGGGATCAATGCTTGCCTACGGGTTCATGGCAAGCCCCCTTTCATCGTCAGTCGCACTGAAGGCTACATTGGTGTCCTGATCGATGACCTTACCACTCTGGGCACCAGCGAGCCATACCGGATGTTCACCAGCCGGGTGGAGTTCCGCATGTCCCTCCGGCCTGACAATGCCGATGCCAGGCTCACTCACAGAGGTATTTTATTATCATGGCTCTTGCAGTGAGCAGCCCTGCCTGGTTGTTGACCTTTGTCTCATACGGTATCTGTCTCTGCAGGTTTTGAAGAAGCCGGGTGTGTGTCACAGCAGCGATATGAACAAGCAGTTAAGATGCGAGCTGCTTTGGAGGATGGAATTGCAACCCTAAAATCCCTTCAGTTCAGCGTATCCAAATGGTCCCATTTAATACCAGAAGTTCCCATCAGTAGCAGTCGAAGGTCACCTGTTAGGTAAAAGTTACAGCTGAAGCTTTCTGGTCTGACCTACGCTTGCTTTAGCACATCTGGCTAGCGGTTTCACAGCATTTGTCCGTCCTTCCTGAAGTCGTCAGTACTCCAAGATTCCAGCTTTATCACTTTCAGGGGACAGATATCTGATGCTTACCTACAGAATGAGTGTGATGTCGGTGTTTTTACTGTGCCGCACTTCCTGCTGCTGACATAGGCTCCCAAAGTAAGGAGATACTCCACTGACTCAGTCAGTTCTTGCTGTCCTTATTGAGAGTGTCATCAAGTGGCACCAGTTTTTGCAGTGGATTGGTGCTTTTTCAAAAGCTTGATAAAGCAGCGATTGATTTCAGGCTAGTGTCAGATGGTACACAAAGGCTCTTGCTTCCCTTACCCATCCTTTATCTCACCTTTTCTGTCGTTTTAAATCAGTAGCTAAGACCTGGCTGACTCAGTCTCTGTGAAAGGTTCCCCTTGATGCCCTTACCTCGTGCCTTCTATCTGACTGTTCATTTTTCCTAAAGAACCCCTCCTCAAGAGCTGAACTGATCTTGTGTACACTGAAAGGAGACACTAGGGAGGTCAGCTTGGCTCTGCACTTGTTCTGGCTTCTGCTGAGATGTTTACAAGCTTGAGCTGGGAACAGCTGTGAATCTGCCTTATGGAAGTGACTCCTTCTTACCATTAAAACTTACTCTTGCTCTCTGCAGTGCCTTCGACATCCTTCAATATCGAGAGGCCAACATGGAGGTTCTGGCAAGGGCTGTCCCAGAGCCCCTGGGAAAGCTTGCTCAATGGAGAGAATTGGCAGAGAGATTGAAAATAGAAGGTAGAGTGCTAGAGTTAGTGGGATCTGTGTGGTTTTTATTCAGTAAGGGGAGAGCCAATCCATTCATCCCAGTGTGTTTCATGTTGCTGCTTAGTGAAATGAAATACTGTACCAGAGTATGCACCTTTCACTGTAGGCCACAGCCCTCTGTTTTGCTTTGTAGGGTGGGATCAATTATTCATGTTCAGTCCTGCGTTTTTCTTCCTTACTGCTATGTCAAATAGACCATCCCTTCCTGGGATGAGAGGACAAGCTAACCCGTGTATCTTAATTCCTGTAACAAATTAAAAGAGTATGACTTCTTCCAAAGTAGTGATGTGAATAAGGTTCTTGTAGTCTGTGAGGCTAGAAACTCCCTTAGGAGCTTTTGACCATCTTGGTGGAGTTGCTGATTTTGCTTCCAAGAATTCCTGCAAGTGACCTGTTTCACATTAACATCTATATCTGGTCATCTTGTTTCCCTGATCTTCCCTCACAGCTGCTTACGAGTGGTGTGTAGTCAATCAACAGCAGGAAATAGAAGAAGTGCGTCATGATGAAGCCCTCCGACTGCCAGAGGACCTAGATTACTTTGCCATTGATGCATCGCTCTCAGCAGAGGTGCGGGAGAAACTGGACTCCAACCGTCCGCAGACGGTAAGATACTGGGCCACAGCAAGGTTGAGCAGCAACGAAATCCCTTCTGTGTCTTCCCAAGGGATGTAGGGGGTGAGGAGAATCAGGCAGAGGAATACCCACAGGTTTTGATCTCATTTCTCACTAGCTCCAGTGTGTAGGTTTGTTCTTGGTTAACTTGTTCTGTTTCCACATGCAGATTGGTGCAGTCAGCCGCATCCCTGGAATTACACCAGCTGCTATCGTTAACCTGCTAAGATTTGTGAAAACCAATCACCAGAAGACAGAGAAGCTAAAAGCGTTACCTCAGACTGGCAAGTATTTACCAGGGAAAATGCACTCAGAGAAAGCAACTTCCCAAAGGCAGATTTCAGCAGAGTTTTCTGAAGAGGAGCCAGAGAGTACCTTTGTTAAAACACCTTTATAGAGAAGTTACCAGAAAACGTGGCAAGATCAGCGGTACTCAGAACCTCTTCACAGATAAAACCGATGCTGGCTGGATCCAAACCAGTTCTGATTGTGTCCTGTGGCCGTGTCATTGAGTAGAACAAAGATGACAAATACGCAAACCTTAAGTAAATGTTTAGGAACCTAAATACAGCCTGTGATTTTGCCAATGCAAATGAAAAGACAAAGGAATTGCTTTAAAAATTCCACTCATTTGGAAGACGTCAGGTAGTCAGAATCTGTTCTGAAGCATCTTGGAAAGGACGGTGTTTTGCTGGTCTGAAATGAGTAAGAAATGTTACCATCCTGAACCCACGGCAGCACAAGAGGATTTGAGCTGGAAAGTGTGCTCTGTTGTCTTCAATACGTGTGCTTTTACAGCTGTGCAGTGACTACACACAGTCTGATGTTTTAGTGTGATGTCAGCCAATAAGAGACACTTGGTTTGAAAATGCATGCCACACGAATATGTAAACTTATGTAGGAGACCGATCGAATGCCAACGCTGTATCCTGGGCTTTTTTTCTCCTGTAAAATAAAGAAAGCTTATCTTGAAACTTGCCAGAGAACTTGGTTGTCACTTAGCTTTCAGTCTAGCCTGTCATTGCCAATTTGCTGAGTCACAATTCATGCAGGTAGGGTGGGGTGAGATTCGCTACAGAGCTGGTGAAGGCAGCTGGGGCAAGACTCGCTGCCTGGGCCAGGGTGCTGGGGAAGATGCCCCAGGAGCCCCACCTCCGCCCCACCTCTGTGGTGACGGACAGATGGACGTGCTGGGGGCCAAGGGAGCAGGACCAGGGGTTTCGCATCAGCACTGGTGCTGCAAGTGACAGTAATGGGACTCGCGTCTGAACAAGATATGCTTTGGGCAGTCGATTTGTCATGCGCTATCAAGAAACACTAAATTCAAGCTGTTGCTGCACAGTTACTGAATCCTTGCCCGAGTTAGGCGCCCCTCTCTGATGCTAGTCTCATTTCCGAACATTCCCCTGAATTGACTGTGCAAACAGGCTTGGGAACAAGTTTTGTTGGAGTTAAATAGAGCTGTCATTTTGAAATGATGATCCAGGACTTTTCTCTATTTGCTCTGGGTGAGTGGTTCCTTTCCTGTCCAGAGAAAGGAGTCAAAGCAAATCCTTTTTGTTGACGGCCCCATCGTGCAGCAGGAGGGTGGGCAGGGCTTACAGCCTGCTTTGGGGCATCGTCTGCCCGCCTGAAAGCCTCTCCTGGTCACCAGCTACTGCATTGAACAGAACGGCTTTAGGCACATGATCTGTAGGCCAGTTCATGTCGGAATGGCTCAGAAAAGCTAACAGGTATCTGCCCCTTTATGTCTGTAACCTGTTTTCCTTTCAGCTCAAGGAATTTCAACTTTGTAAGCCTTACTTTTAGTGTAAGGAAGGCAGCTGTGCTTTCTGCGGTGTAGCTTCAGCAGCAGGTATGGTATTCTCAAAACTCCAGCTATGCGAATCTGAAGCAGCCCTGAATCCCTTGCCTCTCTGCCTCTTCAAAGCAGCAGAGCTTCTGATCAAGGAAGTTTCTTTCTTCACTGCATTATCTTGGTGTTTTGTTTGTTTTTGATGTACCGATGTCTGTAAAAACTTAGGCCTAGTTCTTACCGGCGAGGAAGGAAGCCCTATTGACATCTTCCTCCTCTCACTTGTAAGCAGATGGTGCATTTCCTAGTTCTTGTCAGCAGTCATTTGACAGGAAAACCTTGCTTCCAATAACGTGTGTCTTGAAAGGCAAGCCTCTCACACCCTGCTACAAAAGCAAACACTTCTTCCTCGGCTTTCTCTGCTACATGTCTGTGTTACGAAGGCCTTGGTTCTGGTCTCGGAATGACTCTGCTGCACTGGGCTGAACTGGTGTCAAAGAAAGAGCAGGAGTGGGCTTTTGGGGTGGTTTTTTTTTTTTTTACTATTAGCAATTTAATAATGCACAGCTGTGGTCTAAGAGTGAGAAAGGCAGGGAGAGAGTTTGTTAACTCCAAGGGAAATTGAAGTCAGAAGTGCATGGACATTGCTTTCCAGCAGATCTTTTGTAACAACTGCTCTCTGTATTTCAGCATGAAGTGGGTCTTTGGCGACTGGTGAGCTCCCTTGTTAAGACAGGATGTCCTCTGTTCACATATGTGGGTTAATGATATCCATATTTGCTGAAATGGAAAACCTGGCATGTGCACAAGTTTGAGAACTGGCTGTTCCTCAGGTATTAGTTTCACGTGTATAGGGCTTGCCACAACTTCTTGTGCTTGTTGAACAGTTCTTGTTGTAGAAGACTTTTAACGTGAAAAGAAATCATAGCTACAAGTAGTTCTATTTGTTTTGTTAAGAAAAGTGCAGAAAGGCTAAATAATCTGCTGTAAATAGCATGGGCAGATAGAATGGTAGTGCACAGGTAGTGTTTTCATCAATCCCTGTGGTGAACGGCGTTAAATCC